GTTGAGTGGGGTTCGTGGGTTCCAAGATGCACCGCCTTCTTAATTTGTTGTTCGTAAAGCATTGATGTCGCGCTGACATTCCGTGTGGTTGAAACGATGTGTTGGTCGGAACACAGCATTGTGCCTGGGCTGACGCTGACAGGATGCATTTTGCTCCTCAGGGAAGTAGCATGTGAAGTCATGGTTGGAGCAAAGCAGAAATAGGTCGGAATAGGTCGGGAACCCTACTACATTGGTCCTAAGCATACCCTGATGATGTTAATTGTCATTAGCTCTGGCCAGTATGCTTATATCCCGCTGTAGTTGGGTTCCCGATCTATTTCCGACCTATTCCCGACCTATTCCTGCCTGTTCCAACCATGACTTCACAGGGTCTTAGGGCCCGACCTATTCCGACCCATTCCCGACCTAATCCTGCTGTGTTCCAAGCGTGACTTCACAGGGTTTTTTCTTCGGGCCCCGACCTATTCCGACCTATTTCCGACCTATCCCCGACCTATTCTGGCTTTGTTCCAACCATGACTTCGCAGGGTCTTTCTTGGGGCCCCGACCTATTTCCGACCCATTCCCGACCTATCAATTCCTGCTTTGTTTCAACAATGTTCCTGACGTATTTCGCTTTGTCTAACCATGACTTCACAGGGTCTTTCTTGAGTCCCAGGCCTATTCCCTACCACCTATTCAATTTGGCGCAGTTTTGGTCATTTCTTGATTTCAGTTGTTTTTTTCAGGCCTGTGCTGTTGACAAGGTGGCCACAGCCCATTATTCGGATCAAAAAAAAGGGAATTGTAAACCCCTTGCTTGGCTGGAATTTTGCGTGGCTAAACCCCGCTTATGAGCCTTTCGACAGGTCATTGAAACCCATCTTGGGTTGATTTTCATGGCTGTTTAGCCCACCTTCTGATCTGCTGGATGCCCGCGACTACCCTGACTAAACCCCTACCTCTAAACACCTGTTAAGCCCGTATGCCTAAGCATACCAAGGGCTACCCAAGGCATTACTATTAGTAGCAATAAGCCTCGAACGTAGCGATGCACGGGTGGAATCTCAAAACATCTTTTCACAGCTGCTTAAGCTGCTTAAGATTCATGCTGAGCTGACAACTCTTCCTTGCGGCACTCTTCCTAACTAAGATGATCTAGAAGTTCAACAAATATGCAGTTCATCGATCCTTGACTTGTGCTGTTCATGTCAAGAAGTACTGTAGAAAAAACGGCTGAAGCAGGCGGGACTGGCAGTATTCTCTTCAATCTCTGGAAGGCAATTTTACAGAAGGAAGTCCGGTCGACCGGAACAGGTGTTCGCATTTTTGAGGATAGCTCTTGCCATCCCGTCTCGCCTCTTTTTGCTCGACCTGCTTCAACCTCACCTGGTCGAAGGTCGCTTCATGTCCCTTCAAGAGCAAATCCGTCCCGGCCAGGCGCACTCTGGCGCACAAACCGTCAAAGGAACGGAGGGGGGGGGGCCGGCGAGACGAAGCGTGGCGACCTCGCCGACCTCGTCCTTTCTTCGGTCGACTCGTGACCCCTGGGTCCTCAGAAAACCGCCGGTGACCGGAGGTGGGCGGTGTAAAGCCACTGTGACAGCATATATCGAAACGAGGGTCGAAATGAAAGGGGCACTAACTATGTAGTTGTAACTTGTGGCAGGACTTCACCCACAGTCAAACAGAAATTCATCATCTCATCCCAGTCCATGTCGCTGGATGTAGACCCCACCTCCAGCCAATGGCTTTCACGTGGTCCACCAACGAAAGGAAGGTTCTGTAATTAGTCAGACGCCGAAGCCGCTGTAATGACTTCGGAGCCCACAAAATTGTTCCCAAAATTGGCTCTTGAGCACTGAAGCTTCAAAATTGCTGAATCGATTTGGATTCCAAAAACGCCAACGGCCTGGATCAACCTGGCCGAAAACGCCAAGCGTCGCCAAGCGTCGCAAGCATGCCAACTGCTCACACCAAATCTGTATCCTGGGACGAGGAAGCCTGCAGTGTGTGATACTCTAGAGTCTCTAGAGTTGACTTCGAGTAGGTCATCAGTATGCCTGAGAACATCTTCCAACTTCCAACCACACTAGCTCTCTTGCCACCGAAACAAGGATAGTTTCTTTGGTTGCTTGTCGTTTCTCACTGATCAATTTCAGTTGAGCTTCTTTGGAACTACCAAAGAAGAAAAGAAGCCAGCAGCCCAAAAATTGGAGGGTGAAATGATGTGAAATGCTTTCAAAACATGGCCTGTGGCTCCTCTCTCCGCAAGCGCAACCTTCAAAAAAACAGAACAAGACCCAGTTCAAAAGACCCAAACCCGGGCCTTGCGAGCCTTGCGACGAAGCTCCAAGCCCGTGAGGCTCGCCTGAAACACTGTCCCTAGTATCCTAGTAACTAGTAGCGACCATATCGAGTTGATTCAGAGTCGATGATTTGGTAAGTGCGTTTCGAAGCTGTTAGATTCAAAGGAATAATCTTGGTACTCGAAATTGAAACTCATCTGGGGAATTATCCAACTACTCTTTATAATCATGACAAGTAGAATTGGACACGATTGATAGCAATGGTCCAAATGGTCCTTGCTTTTTGGCCCCTCAACTCCAGAACACTTCACTGCACTGAGACTTCAGCTGTTTCCACGGTTGAGCTTTCTTGTGCCACTGATGACCACTGAGCCTCAGCACACGATCGAGACTGGGAGCTGGGTTTGGTGGGCACCACTGGTTTGGTGAGCAAAGGGATGCTTTTTCCCTATAGGCCCTAGACCTGTGACGAGCCAACCCCTTCTGCTGAAGCTCTTGGGAGAGACTGGAGCAAGTTTTTAAGAGATCCAACGGCCAAACCTGTATCCACTAGGTCCAAAGAGTGAAACGACCTCCACCTCCGCCTCAAAGAGTTCAGTATCTCTCGTCTCTGCCATGCTCTGCCATGCTCTCCCCAATCCGATGCCGCCCACAACGGGAGGCCGACCACAACGCGAGGTAGCTGATGAAGGTCCAGGCCTTGAAAGATGAAATGTCTGTCCAGTTGGAAGGGGAGAAGCCAGGGGGAGAAAAAAGAAAGGAAGGAGAAAAAGACAGCTCCAAGGTCCAAAGAGAAAGAAAAACTCTTCGACTGAACGGATCTCAGAAGGTTCAAGAAACACCGGATGTCAGGTTGAAGCACACACATGCCGTGCCATGAGAAGATGGTAAGAAGATGTAAGAAGAGAATGCTACGCTGCACGATTGTACGAAAAATAGCTGGCAAGAAGCTACTAGGCTTAGATCTTTTCTCCCTTTCTTCATCTTTCTTCCTTCCTTGATAGGAATACAGCTTTGGAGACCACTTGGCGCTCTTGATTGATTTAACACTGCTGCTGCAGAGTCGCTACACTCATCAGGATGAGGAAGAAAATCTCGGATCGCAGACCTGTTCACAAAATTAACTTTTCTTATCTTTTCTTGAATATTTGAGACTGGTTTCTGAAGTCCTTCGTTTCTTTGTTCGTTTTTCAGGAAGAAGCCGCAAATGAACTTGCTCACCAGAGTCGGCTTCCTGAACAGTGCAAGCTCATAGCTGTTCGTCTTGCAAGGCAACCTGGTGGATTCGAATCTGAGTGGCGTGCTCGTAAATCGCTTCAATACCCTGAATGGCCTGCCACCTGAGTTGTCCCAGGCCATCGCTCGTAGGTTGGAGGCCGCTAGTAGGTTGGAGGCCATCGCTATTAGATGCTATTAGGTTGGAAGCCATCTCCTCTAGGTTGTCCGATCCCGATTTTTCAGCTGCTTTTGGCCCAACCGGCCGTGAGGCCAAACGTTTTCTCAGACTGATGCGTTGCAGGATCTGATCGAAAGCTGCTCTCGTCCCTGCAGCCCACATGTAGATACGAAGAGAAACAAGCAAAATAGGCGCATCAACACTCAAGGCATCTCAGGGCTCTTGCAGATGATTGGAGTAGTTGTTCCAGTAGTATGCCTCGAAACAAAACGCTGTCTCCTCCGTTCTCAAGCTGCTTTTTTGTCTTCCCATGAAAGTAGGACAATTCACCTGAGTTGGCCACAACACTCCATCGAGTAATTGAGAGGAAGTCCATGATCACCTCCAACGCAACAGGGTTCGCTTCGCCACTTCGCTTCCACCGTTTGTTCCTTCATTTCGATCCTTGTCAACGACGGACCAACTCATCCCCTGCTGGACGTTGCGGTCCAATAAAACCAGCACAGGCCGACTGGCCTTTTTGGAAACCCACTCGACTCTCCAACAACCCTGGGTCAACGCCATGACGAAGCCATAGGTCACACACCCCGACCGACCCACCAACCGACCCCCGCCTCAAGGACTGCACCGTCCGCCATGGTTTCCACCTCGGTGCAACGAACGCGTTTCGTGCGGCGAAGGACTCGTGCGGCGGCGGAAAGCGGAGGACTCGTACTCGGCTCGGACGCCGTGCTCGTAGGGGGTGGCCCAAAAGGCCACAAACCACCTCGAGTGCTGCACACGGGTGCTGCACATGAGATCAGTCAGTGAGTCTGTGAGATCAGAGATCATGTCAGCTGAATCGAGCAGCTTCTGAACAGAACGATGTTGCAGAAGGTTTGGAGCTACCATGCAGTGATGAGAATGTCTCCATGTTCTGAACTAGTTGTCAGGAGAGTAAATGAGAAGCAAGTGCTTGCAAACATCCTCCAAGTGGCAAAAATAATGATGGCAACGACGAAAGGCCCATGCCTCACACATTCATATCAAGCAGTGTCAGCTAATCAACATCCCAGCATGTCCAATTCGGGCTCACACTGCAAATACAAACGGCTTTGAATTTGAAGGAATTTCAAACATCCTCGACATCGCGAATAGTTGACTGTTCGGCCACCGTTCAACTTCCAAAATGGATCTGGATCCTGTCATGATCCTTCCCTTTCGCCAAGTCGCGCCACGGGAAAGGTGGTCGAAACAGCGTAGCCCAGGCCAGAGGCGGCGAAGGAGACCAGACTGGGTCGGCCAGAGGGGCGGTGGTGAAGCGAAAGAGGCCATCGCTCTGAGGAGCAAGGACGCTACTGGGGGCTCCTGGCCTTACTACTAGGAACAAGAAGCTACTAGTAACAAGTACATCGCTTCTAGTAACAAGTGCCTTACTAGTAGTAACAAGGACGCTAGTAGGGCTCCTGGCCTTACTACTAGGAGAAGCTACAAGGAACAAAGGGCATCGCTACGAACGGAGCGATCGGACGCTATTAGGTTGGAGGCCATCGCATGCCACCTGGTTGGAGGCCATCGACCCAGTTCCGTCTTCCAGCTATTTCGATGTATTGAGTTGTAGTTGTAGGTCCGAGTTCCGTCTGAGATCTGAGTCTTAGAGTCCGAGCACGAAGGGCATGAAATAGAGCTCGAAGGAAATGACTGGCTGCCTAGTGGCTGAGACTGACCCCAAACAGAATCTGTGGATACATTTGGACCTGATCATGTAATAGATGGCGGCCAGGAGGAAGCACTGCAAAAGGACATCCAACCTCAAAGAGCGGATGACAGGCGTTTCTTGCGCCGGTCTCGCACCGAAACCGACGTCCGTTTTTGGACGCCCGTGAAACCGAACGTTTTGGTTTGGACACGGTTCCCCACGTGTTGATGAGGATCTTGGACAGGAAGAAGGCAGAGATGTTCAATCCGCTCTCACGCTCACGCCAGAAGACGGGTCTGTCCTGACGCGTCTGACGCAAAAACGGCACGAAGACGGGGCTAAGACTATCAAATTGAAGGGCGGAATATTAGGGGGCGGTTTTTTCTTCAACAACGCGGCTGCAAGGAAGATTGATTGAGGCCTATTGAGGCCTTCAGCTCGACATTTTCTTTGAACACACGACGACTGGACGACATTCCCATTGAAACTCGCTGAGATACTGAGGCCCAAACTGCGCTGAAAACGTTCAGGCAAAAGACGGCCGTCAACAGGGCCTTGGGCAAAAACATCCATTGCGACTGACGGCCAAAGCACTTTGAGTTCTTGGTCCCGACCAAAGTGGTGTGCAAATTCAGGAAAGGCCTCAAGCGTTGGCCCGTCATGTGGACTCCAACATAACCTCCCCCCAATTGAATTGAAAATAATTGAAAAACATCGTCTTTAAGCTGATTGAAGAAGTCACTTCATTCTGACGGGACGACCCGACAAGGCGTCCCGACAAGATCTGCCATTCCTTCTCCTTCACCACGAAGGTGTCCATCAAGCCCTCAAGGACGAATCGGCACATCGAATCGAGCGCGCGGGTCAGTCTCGGTTCTTTGTGTGCATGGCTTCAGGAACAAGGTGCACGACTACTAGTAACAAGAAGCTACTAGTAGCAAGGTGCCTTACTAGCAAGAAGCTACTAGTAACAAGTGCACTACTAGTAGCAAGCACGCTACTAGTAGCGATGCACTTGTTCCTAGATCTTCTTCCGGGCTTAGACATTGACCAGGATCGCAGATGAGCCGGAAATCACGAAGAGGAAGAGACCACGGTGCCAGGAATGACCTCACTGAGCCGGGTCACTTGCGTTCAAGCACGGGGCAGAAGATGAAAGCCCCCCTAATGAGGCCCTTCATGCGTGAAATGAACAGTGGATGTCTGAAGGACTTCTATGGGGCTCAAAATGAACTCAAACTTGTGCCAACAAAAATCACCTGATACATCCTGATATATACCTTGGGGTTTCTCTTTAATCTCAGCATCCAACGCCACCATTGAATAGACCCCCGGTGTAGTAGCCTTGGCCGAAAACGCGCCGAATCTGCTGAAAACCTGCTGAAAACGTTCGTCCCTAGGTTCGCAGCATGAAGAGCTGACGCCGGAATCCCGGCGGCTTGCTATTGCGCGCCTCGCTGAGCAGGCGTCAGCACAAAGAAAACCGCGGTCCTTCTAACAAGAGGTGGTTTTCCTCAGGTGGTTTTCCTTACTAATACCTCCAGAGAAGGTAAACTCGAATATCGCACCAATTGAGAGCCTCCTGTAGCTTGTTGGGGGGAGGGGGCATCATCCATGAGTCCATCGATTGAGAGCCCAGCATGTTTGCGCAGGTTGTGAGCGGAAGTGAAGCTCTTGGTCGTCTTCAATGATCGAGCCGATCGCCGAGCATGGCCATCCGCCACCTGCCGGTCACGCTCGCGACTCGCGTCGCGCGCGGTCGCTCGCGGGCGCGCGCAAACGGAAGCCTCCCAGCTCAATTTATCACTGCTGGGAATCACCGTGAACTCTGAACCTTGAAATGTCACATCAAACAATTAAGCTCAAGGCTTACAGCCATCATCTGAGCCCTGTACATGAGGGAGAATCCGCCAAGGCAACACCTCAAATTCGCCGGCTCAGCAGAAGCAAGCACAATTCGATTCAAAACGTCCCGTTCCACAAAGGTTCAACTCGGTTCAGCTCAAAAACACATACCACTAGGCTAATTCGCTCAAGAAATTCAAGATATGTCGACTGGGAGACAGCGAACCGCCTGTCAGTCTCTTCTTCCGCGTTCCCCACGGCTTCGGCTTTCCAGGCCCCCGGCGCTGCTTTGCGATCGCCTCACCAGCGCTCGAGACGGCGTGGAGTTTTCCGCCGCGTTTTCGGAGGAGCAATCGGATCGCGAGGCGTCGCTCCGGCGCAAAACAAGGCCAGAACGTCATTGGGATCAATTCGCCTCGCACTGCTCAGTCGAAGGATTGCAGTCCGAAGAATTGCAGAAGAGCTGCTGAAATTGCAACTTGCTTGGCTCATTGTTACTCTCTATTGGTGTCGTTGTTCTGTCCAAATGTCCCAACACATTCAGAATAGTGGTTGAGTGGCAAGCACCTTCCAGACTCATGAACTTCATTCATGAGCCTTCTTAAGAAACGCTACTTCGCTCAATAAGTGTGGGGAGGACATCTATATGGGATCAAAACCAGAATACGTTCAGCGTTTTCTCCGTCCCCCCGACCTCGACCACACAGAGCGTGTCCGCGGTGAGAGCTTCCGCAGCGTCGCCTCCTCGATCGAACCTCACTCGCACAGTCGCACAGGAGGTCAATGAAACGGCATCGAAAGTCACCAGGCAATCGGAAGTGCCTCTTGTGGTTCACGAGTCATAGAGTCATAGACTTTGGCTAAGTGAGTGGTTGTCCATAATTACTTTCTTTGCATCCATGTCTTTCGGATACTGTGTGGGTCTAGATTTGGCTAACATATCATGCCAACATTGCGCGAAATGATCGAAATGAGAGTGGATCAGTATCTGCAAGCAACTTGTTCCAAACCATTCCAAACCTGTAGGTTTGCAACCTACTGGCCATCACAGAAGCACCACCTGCGTTAAAACCACAATCATCCATCACTGCAGGTTGGCAGCCTACAGCGCATCAACAAACATCCAGTAAATCATGACTAGGAATGTTGGTTCTCTGGCGCTGCAGGTTCGCAACTCACAGTACGATTGCTGATTTGCAAGCGCGCTTTGCTGTAGCTTAAAAACCTAAAGATCACCACCATCATCCAACTCTGTTGACTTGTCTGGCACCCTACAAGCATACAAGCTAGCACTGCTTGCTAGATCCTTTTTTCTCTGTCGCTGCAGGCTCACAATCCATAGTTCATCAAACATGCATCACAAGCATAATGATTTGCAACCGTGCTTTTGCAAGGCTGTAGGTTGGCAACCTACAGGCGACACAATCTATCATTGATCAAAAGAGATTTGGTCATCTGACGCTGCAGGTTTGCAATAACAGTTCATCAAAAATGCACAATAAGCATCATGAACTGTGCTTGCTGACTGGCAGCCTACAGGCATACGATCTATTGTTCATCATTAGCACATGGTTTCTTTGACACTTCAGGTTCGTAATCCACAGCTCATGGAACGCATCGTCAGCATAATGATTTGTGACATCATTTTGCAAGGCTGTAGGTTGGCAACCTACAGGTCACCACCATCATCCAACTCTGCTGACTCGCAGCCTACAAGCATACAATCTATTATTGCTGACTAGAGTATTGTTTTTCTGACGCTGCAGGCTCACAATCCACAGTTCATCGAACATGCATCACAAGCATTTTAATGGTTTGCAACTGTGTTTTCGCGAGGCTGTATGTTAGCAACCTACAGTTGAGACCAAAAAATGCTGGCAAGCACCCGACTAAGTACAGCCCATCAACATAGTATCCAGCAGATCGTTACCAGGAACTTTGGCGCAGAACATCAACTAACCATCAGACCATTGTAACGCGGCATTAAGTGTCATGATCTGTGAACATCATCGTTCTGATCGTCACAGCACCCCGCGTGGAGAAGAGAAAACAAAGTCTTCAAAGTAGAAACAATACGGCAAGAATCAAAAGCAGATTGCCTTACTAGTGTCTTGTGCAAATGAGTGCGAGGAAGGATCGACCGATCCCAAAATAAATGAGTGTGAGAAATGCAAGTGATACTCGATGTAATCATAATGTCAGCATTGGAACAACAAGCTAAATGATATTCAAGACGCTTCGCGTCGACAGCCGCCCACACCGCGCACGAACAGCCGAAGTTAGTGAAGTGGAAGTAGCCATCTAGGCGCCAGGTTGGGGACAAGTGCAGCCATCTAGGTGCCAGGTTGGCTGTCTTACGGCTGCGTTGGAGCCATCTTGGGGCCAACTTCGTCTACCTTAGACCTTGGAGCCCATAGTGGTGATACAAATTCGGCATTGCCAAAAGCCATCCAAGAATACACCTCCAAAACGCTCTCCCCAGTGGCCCTGCAGCCGAGCAAGAATCAACGCAGCAATCACCCCAAAACACAAAAATTCATCCAAAACGCTCTCCCCAGTGGCCCTGCAGCCCAACCATAGCCGTGCACGCGCGAAAGAAAAGGCACCCCCCCCAGCAGAGCTATTTGCATAGGCGGCAGAGCTCAAGAGCCCCAATAGCACGCCCTGCACCGACAAGCGGTGTGGGCGGATTTAGCTAGGTTTAAGCCACAGATGTGTTTGCTACTATACAACTAACATGATATTGTAACGTGTCAGATTCAACCATAAGTGATGCTCTACAACTCCTGCAAAGAGGGGAGTCATCAAGGTATTTATTCTCTCTCAGTGTATGAGTCTTTGGGTCAAGTTGTAAGTGACCTTCAATGGCGATATAAAATAGAAACAATAAGCTACAAGGAACAAGTGCATCGCTTCAAGTAACAAGTGCCTTACTAGTAGTAACAAGAAGCTATTAGAAACAAATGGTACCTTCGTGACCCGGGTCGTCCAGTTTCGTACGTTTCGGGTCCCCAGCGGACCAAAGCTTGGCGAGGCACCTGTCAGGTTCGACTGCAAGCGGGTTCGGTTTCAGAAATGCTCCAATGCTCGCTCACGGGTGGAATCTCTGTCAAATGCAGCTGTTCCATCCTTGCACCTAAACGTTTTGGAGATGTCAAGTTGTGTTCCGAACAAGATCCTCCTCCCAGCCCAAAGGTCAGGTTCGTGCCCGAACCTCACCAATCGCGGAGCTGTA